AACGGGAAAGAATATAAATTAAGAATTGGCCACAGAAACCATAATTACTTGTTCATCTGCAAAACAGAGGCTGGATTCATGTAGAACATTAAGCCATTACGAAGTCTGTTTGCTTTTTGCTCAATGAGTCCATTCTTTATGGCTGACATGGGCTGCTAGGGCTTTCTCAACAACCCATGTTTAAAGAGTTATTTGTGAACTAGACCTGAGAGACATCTCTAGTCTTAAAATATGTCCATTACTAGTGGAGTGGGGAGATTACTGTAAGAAGAGGGATGAATGGAAAGGTCAGTCCAATATAGCTGTAAACGGAAGGTTTAGGTCGCATTTAGACTGTATAGGGACCAATATGACTTAGTGGTAATAGTCATTAAGCAGTAACCTTTGCTAATAGATTTAACAGCACACTCTTATTTGTATTTTTGTTCAGAAATAATTATGGGAATTAATTGGATTAATTTTCAAGCAAACATATTGAATATTGCAATTATAACTGGAATCTGAAGCCATTTGTTGGGTAATAAATTCTATTGGCTTTAATGGGAAAAGTATATTTCTGCATTAACTTAGAGCCACAGTGCATATTTCAACCTGTGAATTTTATTCAAAACAAATGCACCATGGAATGTAAAGGCAGTATGTTGCTGAATATAACCACTGTAATAGGTATATCTGTAATTAATCATAATCATAAGTTTTATTTGTCAAGCATATATAAAATAACAGGTAAAAGTATAAACATAATTTGAATACATGAAAAAGGAATATTAGGACAGGGATGGTAGGCACTCTGGTGCACTTATGCATGCCCCTTACAGACTTCTTAGGAATGGGGTGAGGTCAACAGTAGACAGTTTAAGGTTAAAGTTTTTGGGGTTTGGGGAAGAAGCTACAGAGTCAGGTAGTGCATTCCAAGCATTGACCACTCTGTTACTGAAGTCATATTTTCTGCAATCGAGTTTGGAACAGTTTACCCTGAGTTTGTATCTATTATTTGCTCGTGTATTGTTGTGGTTGAAGCTGAAGTAGCCATTGACAGGAAGGACATCGTGGCAGATAATTTTATGTACTATGGTTAGGTCAGACTGAAGTTGGCGTAGTTCTAAGTTGTCTAAACCCCAAATTTGGAATCTGGTGGCATATTTTATTGCAGTTAGAGGAATGGAAGACTCTTCTCGTAAAATATCTCTGGACTCTCTCGATTGTATTTATGTCTGATATTCAGTGCAGGTTCCAGACAGATGAGCTGTATTCAAGAATTGGTCTAGCAAATGTTTTGTATGCTCTAGATAGTAGTACAACATTACCAGAGAAGAAGCTATGCAAGATTAGGTTAACAACTCTTAATGCCTTTTTGGCAATGTTGTTACAGTGGGCTTGGGCACTTAGATCTTTAGAAATGAGTACTCCAAGGTCCTTGACAGAGTGAGGGTCATCTACAAGGTCATGTCCATCTAATTTGTATTTTATGTTTTGATTTTTTTTTTGCCAATGTGCAAGTCAGAACATTTGTTGGTTGAGATTTGAAGTTGCCACTTGTTAGACCAGTCTGACACATAGTCAAGGTCTTTTGCATTGTTGGTGGTGTTGAATAGTTTAACATCATCAGCGAAGAGAACAAGTTACTTTTAATATGATCACAAAGGTCATTTATGTAAAGTATGAAGAGTGTTGGACACTGTTGGACACTAAGACACTGCCTTGGGGAATACTGCTATTAACATGTACAGGATTTGATAGAGTATTTGGTGTAAAAATTAATCTATACCTTAATGAGAACCTAGCTATAAAGGTTCAACCATTTTGTCTGAACTTCATGTGCTCAGGAACATGCTGCAGATATGGATAAAACTAGCTTTTGTTTAATCTGATTTATTTTATGATATCATTCTGAAGTACATTATTGTGAATACTTCCCCAGCTGACTCTAATAAATAAGTAAAGAAAAAAATGAATAAAAATAATTTACCCATGCCTCAAGGGAAATTCATAATTATGAATGAAAAGTGCACTTAAAATCTATTGCGTAGCACTTACTCTTTAGGCAAGTAATTATTAATTTAAAATTAGCTAGTCAGATCTTCATTTTTTTGCTAATAATTTTAATGTTATGCACTTGTTTTGCTCCTTTTGGACAGGTTCCTGAGCTGTCTGCTGTAAGATTCTTTGACTGGTGCTATTTATAAATTAAAGTGAAAATTAATGCCCACTCATTTCTTCAGCTCATCTCCTTTCCTTGGCTTAATTTATTCTTGTCCATATTCCTTCTGAAAGCCATGTTTTTCCATCCATCTCCTCCATTTGTACTGGCACTTAACTTCTCTCTGAGCACCCAGAATGTGACACCAGACAAACAATGCAATAACTGATGATTCAGTGAGTAGATCATTTTGTGCCATGAAGGGGTTTGTTTGTGGAGGAAGCCACAATGCTGTGTCATAAATCAAAATTTACCGAAGACAATGGTTGGGTTCATATGTGAACACAATCTACATATCAATTTTTAATACACGCTTAAGATATATTACTGTAGGTTGACTCCACAAATCAGAAGAAAGGAGCTGCCACTGAGAAAGAAGTAAAGAACCTAGAAAAATCTATTGATCTGTTCCTTTATAAGTTATTTGTACAGATATCAAGCTGTTGGATAGCACCAGTGAGAACTGAAACCTCCCTGTATTTCAGTGTTTGCATCACTGTCCAAGTCTGAGCACAGTAAAAAAAGAAAAAAGACTTGAGTACCATTAAAGGAGAAATCTGCCAAAGTCTTGGCTTTTGATTCTAAGAAAGAGTAAATTAAATAGTTTCTGTCTATATCTTAGTGCACTGGTATGGAACAATGCTTGATTTGAGGAGTATACTTAAATATGAAGAATGTGCAGAGGGGGACATTCCAAGGCAAGAACAAAAGTGAATTTCATTAATATTAATTAAAGAAATTAAATACAGTTAGCAAAAAGTATTGTTATTTTTTTTTGTGATTAAAGATGCAAAGCTTCTTTAAAGAGTCTAGAGAGCCCTAGACCTTGGAATTTATGCAGGTAGCTCAGAATCAGTTCTAATTTTCTAATCTAGAAAATCCAGAAGAAGCTCAATAAGTAGCTTATACAGCTTCTGCTTGAGAGGTCATTACATTTTCTCGAGACAGTCTGCTCCTCACACCATTAGGAAGTTCTTTCTAATTGACCAGAATCTATTTTCATTCTTTGGTTCATAGCCTGTCCATTGGAAAACTGTGCAGTCACTGTGTTTCCATATATAATAAAACTTGAGAGGTAGGGTGAGGTATAGAGTTTTCCATTAACTATTCTAATCCTAACAGATATTATTTGGAAGTTGCTGTGCCTATCCTTCAGCAGCTCACTCCATTCCGCTGCTGTGCACCTGAAGCAGCTTGTATGCATTTTGGGAGAAGCACCTTTTAAAAGCTAAAGCAAAAGAGAGAGTGATAAGCAGTTGAGTTTGTCTTGTGATGAAAAGACACATGCAACCTCAATCAGTTTCTCCTGGGTGCAGCCTCAAGAGGAAAGGGAAAGGAGGTGCAGTGAAAATGATTTGGTTTCCAGCAGTTGTTGACACCAGTAATCAAAGCACCACTGAAGGAGCAGTACTTCCTGCTTTCCAAAGATAAGGGAGAATGGAGTGCTGCACTCGGCTCTGCTCATCCAGGTGGGCATGAGGGAGCCTAGAGATAGATGTAGAGAATCATGCAATTAAGATAACCTGCCTAAGGAGGCTGAGAAGCAAGAAGAGCGAGTTTCTATTTTGTATGTTTGATTCTAGTCATATCTGCCAAAGGGTCTTTAGATGTGGGAGCAGAAGACTGTTTCTTGTATTGCAGAACTGGGAAAGAAAATGGGAGAAAGAGATCCTTCAGTCCTGAACAATGATGGATAATGTTTTATTAGCTATATTCCCCATCCAGGCTAGGCAGTGCTTAATGGAGGAATTGCAGGCAACCTCCACTGCTTACTCAATCATATCCTTGAATTATGGGAAGTGTTCTAATCTAGGCCGAACACAAAGTGCTCTTAGGAATGGATCGTGCATTTTTGTGCCTGGCTTGACTCCTTATTTCACTTCCTGAAAATCAATAACATTTTGTTATGCTAACAGTAGCATACAATGTAGCTTAAAATTTCCAATTTTTACTTCTGGAATAAAATAATTTATAGATTATTCTAGAATAGAGCATTCTAAAAAGAACAAAATTGCTCTTGCTAGATGCTGTGTGAACCCTATTTGTGTTAACTTTGGGCCCGTCTCTCAGCCTAAACTTACTTCAAGAAATTACTGTAGGAAAAAGTAGAGGAAAGGAGAGAGATGTACATCACCAGGATCTCCTGGAAGAAAGGTAAGATAAAATGATAATGAATGAATTTGAATGGATTTTTCAACAGCCTAGAGCAGGGGTGTCAAACTCGATTTCATTGAGGGCTGCATCAGGGTTGTGTTTGACCTCAGGGGGCTGGGGGTGGGCATGGCTGGGGTGGGCATGAACAGGATGGGTGTGGCTGGAGTGGGCATCACTTGTTGAGGCTCCATTTTCGGTCATGACGGCCTCTTGCAGCCCTCTGCCAGCAAAAATGGAGCTTGGGGAGCACGTGCGCAGCTCACCCAGGTTCTATTTTCAGGCCGTGACAGCCTCCTGCATCCCTCTACCAGCGAAAACAGAGCTTAGGGAGGCTGCGAATAGAGCCCAGGTGGCCGAGGTAGAGGCCACCCAGGCCGGTCCTTCACTGGCAGAGGCACCGAGGGTCAGTCCTTCGCTGTTTCCAGGGTGGCCCCACAGGCCAGATCCACCCACCCCATGGGCCGGATCCAACCCACGGGCCTTGAGTTTGACACGCCTGACCTAGAGCAAAATGGCTCAACCCAACTAAACTCTAGTCCATATCTGGATTTCTGCTAAATTCTTTTCCTGATTTCCAACCCTTTGGAGCCATGCACTTTTTAAAATACTTTCTCAAACACTGATGGAGTACAATGAAGACAGGAGCTATGAGAAGGATATTATATTTTATTTCACATGATGATTGGTAAATGTTCATTCAAATCAAAATGCCCCTGTAATAAGGTAAGCTGGGATGAATCAATTAGCAGTATTATTAGCAGATTAGCAGAACTAGTAGCAGCAGCAGGCTTGCCCACCCGCCCAGACGTCATCACGGTCTATGCATGCGCAGAAGCACTGCAAGCACGGTCACAGTTGCAAACTGGTAGTAAAGGTAAGTGGAACCCACCACTGCTATGTGCCACTGTCCTTATGCTGCTTTTTATCATTACAAAGATTTGATTTGGTTTATGTGGCTTTGTTCATTTTAATAGATTCTCCTAGTAAGAGTTATTTGTATCTGTGATTTGCTGGTAGCTGTCTTAACCTGCTGTATTAAACAGGTTTTTAAATTATGCTTTCCTTTGCACAATTCCTTGGTTCTTCTTGTGAAGAGACCTAATGGGATAATTTAATTTGCTTCCCTTCCACAACTTACTGGGATTCTTTTGGTTTTTGATTAGCCAAAAAGTAGCTTAAGTAGTAGGATTTTTTTTTTTAGAATCTTTCTTAATTCTCATTACCCTTTAAGTTCTAGCACTATTGTGCTATATTGTTATTGTTCTTGTTGTTAGGAAAGTCAGTCTCAGTTTGAGGGTTATTCTAATCTACTGGCCCGTTCAGGTCTCTTCCATTTTGTTTCATATATTTCAGTATTTTTAACTAAACTTCACATTAGACTTTTACCAATTATTTATGCTTTGGGGTAAGGCTATCTGTTCTGGCCCTAAGCCCATGATATTCTCCAACTCATTTAATTTTCATCTTCCTTCTCCTCCAGGATGGATGATCTCCCATTTTGGAAAATAGAAATACTAGATATTTTATAAATCAGTTTCTATTCTTAGGCAAGACATACAGCTTTCTGATAGGTACAAAATGTAAGCAGATGAATTATTTTTATATAGAAATAAAATTAGAGATGAATTCAATTTTAATCGCAGTTTTGAAACATAGATTTCATAACATATATTATTCATTAAATCAAAGCTGCTAATGTGGCTATGCTTGCTATAAAATATTTTTTCTATGCATAATTGTTTATTTTATGATCATTTTAAATTATACACTAGAGTCTTGCATAATTCCTCATATTTTTAGAAGGTCATGGAATCAGCTTTTTCTCAGAAACTTCTTGGTGGAATGATACGTTTGTCCGGTTTCCAAATGATTGCCAAAAATAATGCTTTAAATCAATGCACAACACAGCCACTAAGGAAGAGAGAGAGAGAAAATAAGAATTAGGATAACACACAGTTACTATTTAAAGTTTCACAGAATTTACTATTGCAATATTTCCCCACTTATAAATCCCCAGAATTTATAATCATTTAACAAGTGCTGGGCAACCCATAGTCTTTTTATAGTCTCCAGGACTCCTTTTGATTGCAGCACCAACATTTAGTAGTGCTTTTTTATGAACTGTGCAGTCTTTTTTTTCTGGTCATCAACTGCTTAATACCTCTTTGGTGAAGGCACCTCTTTCTGTATTTTTCATTACTGTTTTCTTAATTCTGTCAGAGTACAGCCCTTCCCAGTGCTATCTGCAATAAGCTCTCCCCAATTACAGCTATCAGGTCTGGCAAAGAAGGCATACTGTGGATTCTGCTTACTAGGGAATTAGATCTGTCTGCTAGGGCAGGAGTTCCCAACCTCTGGGTGTTTGCAACCGGGCCACAAAAGCGGCAGGTAAGTGTGTGTGTGTCAGCATTTCAAATAATGCACACATAAAAAACAGAACTCCGAGGCAGGTAGATTCCTCAAAGAATAATTTATTGGGTACATCATATTGGCACAACTGGTGAAAACCGATTCTGAAAGTTCCAGTGGTTTTCACCAGATTAAAAAGTAAAAATTCCCCCTTCCCCCAAGTTATCAGTCACATTGTCCAATAGAGGTGCTGGCTGGTTGCTTGGTTACTCCACTCCTCCTCTCCCCAGCCATCTGTTGAAATGTCCTTGGTTCCCACAGGAAAACTTTTTGTTTTCACTACAAACCCCCAGCTATCTATCTCCCCACTCCCTGTCCCTTCTTCTTCTTCTTTGTGGCAACCCTGAAACCTCAAAGATGGCCTCAGCCGGGTTCACTTCAGGGTTGTCAGTGTGTGCATGAGCATCCCCACACACGAGCAGCAGACGAGTGCATGCATGCACGTCCATTTGCTTAAGTGGCAGGCTGGTAAGCATCGCAATTGGAATAACTTTGCAGTTATGGTGATTTGATATTAATATTGTATTATCACTCTGTAATGTTTTAGCCATACAAATAGTTTACTACAGCAAACTTACCTCTGTCAAAGAAAGCTGAACTGTTCCATCCTTATCCTTATCTAGTATCTGAAACATTTCTGAGTAGTGAATCAAGAGCAGTGTTAGATTTAATGCATGATAAGCCCAAATGCATGATAAACCAAAAATAAATAACTAAGGATGAATAGAGGTAATTAAAACCTGGCCTTCAGAATCTGAAGTTCAACTACTTCTAGTTAAGATTTTATATGATAGTCATATATGTTTGTATGGGGAAAAACAAACTGGATAGTTTCTTCTACAATATGCACAAAACTCATTTCTCCTTATGTAAGTTTTAGAATTAAGACGTCAATGTGAATTTCATTTGACTTTTTTTTTTTTAAATCAAAGAGCAGTATTACCTAAAACCACTAAAGATCTTTCTTTCAGTGCAGGGTTAACTGAAAAGTTATGTCTTTAAAGTAAATTGGGTCAGACAGACTAATCAAGAGAACAAGAGCGATTTTATCCAATAACCAAAACTAAAAGATCCTGAGGAAGACGTTGCTCCTAACTTCAAATGTGGAGATCAGGCAGGCCTTGGGCTTTAATCAAACTGACTCACTGATTTGTTCAAGTGGAAAACTTTTAACTTGGACGCTATTGTGGAGACATGAGATTCTGTGCATGTATTATATAAATTTTCTGTCATGATTTCCTTTTTTTAAATATCCAAAAGCTTTATATATTATAATAAATTGCTCTTCAATTGCAAATAAGTTGGACTTTCAAATCTTTAAATAATAACACTGATCTCAAAATAAAATATTGCAATCAGTATCTTAAAAAGGTAAAGGTTCTCCTTGCACATATGTGCTAGTCGTTCCCGACTCTAGGGGGTGGTGGTCATCTCCATTTCAAAGCTGAAGAGCCAGTGCTATTTGAAGACATCTCCATGGTCATGTGGCCGGCATGACTAAACGCCAAAGGCGCACAGAACCCTGTTACCTTCCCACCCAAGGTGGTCCCTATTTTTCTACTTGCATTTTTTACGTGCTTTTGAACTGCTAGATTGGCAGAAGCTGGGACAAGTAATGGGCACTCACCCCATTACACAGCACTAGGGATTCAAATCGCTGAACTGCTGACCTTTCGATCGACAAACTCAGTGTCTCAGCCCCTGAGCCACTGCATCCCTTAGGTATCATAGGCAGCTCCTATTGGCTCATTGGAACTTTGTAAAAGAATAATTTGTCTTCAATATGTGTCTGTATCTGCTTTATCAGATAGAATGTGTTTGGGATCTCACCCTGTTTATCTAATATATCTAATAAAATAGAAACATTTTACAATAGTTTTCAATCACTGACAGAGGTATTTTGTACTCAGGTCAAAAATATTTTGCCTGTTAGTAAAAAATTCTTGCTGGGAGATGTAAAACGTAGCAGATTCCCACCCCCTTCTTCTTTTAGAAATACTTACTGAACAAGCATTCTAGACGAATCATACAGGACACAAAGCCATCAAAGTCAATGGCCAGCTTGCTGCAGGCATAACGAATAATTATACTTTGCTGGATTTTGTTACTGAGAGTGAAACCTGTGGAAAAGGAAAGCCCATAATTAAAACATGGTCATGTGATTGTGCTGATCCTCCATAATTTGTCAGTTCAGTACAGTTTAGAACAATGTTTTTCAAAGTTAACCACCTTAAAATGTGTGAACTTCAACTCCCAGAATTGCCCAGCCAGAATTCTAAACAGATATTACTGGGTGGTTATTCCTCCTGATAGGTATGTATATTCTTGGCAAAACTATCCCCAATATGAAGCTTTTCTGGTAATTTGGGACTGCAATTTTTAGGACTTTCAGCCAGCTGGCCACTGATCATGTTGATTGGTTTTTACAAGTTCTGAGGTATAATGCACCTAGAGGAAACCAGGTTGAGGAATGTATGTTAATTTTAAAAGTAGGTCTTAACTGGGGTTTGGTAAGACTTGGAGGCTTATGAACAGAATGTTTACTTAAGTCTGACTCCTATCCCTGACTCCTATTTTTTTCTCCATTGATTTTTGTTCACTGAATGCATCAGGACAGAGGCGTGAATAGGGAAACCTAAAAGAATGAATATATTTTATTAAATGTATTTTCATCAGCTTCAGGCCACTTCATTATATGGGGTGGTGTCAGACTCCTTTAATTTTTTGTTACCATAAACTAATAGCATTCTTATACAATGTCCAAAAGAATGAAAATATTCTTGGGATAGATACATTGATGAAGATTCTCAGTCATCCAGGTAAAGTTGTCTGTTGAGTCATGGCAACTGGACTTCCTTTCTTGTTGTTTTGTGATTTTTGCTGCTCATCCAAGCAGCAGTCAGAGCAAGTCAGTTAGGCAGAGACTAGTAATGTACCAACTCCTCCTGTACCAGCCTCAGGGGTTTCTTCCCCAAAGTGTATGGCAGTATGTCAATGAACTCCCTAACTTTCTCTGACTGATGAAGCTTCTTAGTGGAACAGTGAAATGGTTCACACCAACAAAAAAATAAATCCAGTTGTCATGACTCAATTTTTAGTATTCTTGGGATACTTATTCTTAATTTATTATTTTATTTTCTTGATTGACAAGTATCACTCAATTCATTTATTTTAAATATTGAAACAAACTTTGAATAGATTGTTTAATCCCTGGTTCATTTGGCCAGTTTCTTGAATCCAGTCCACACCATGTCTACAAAAGCAGATGTCTAGACATTGGTCTGCACTGGCATAATATGAAAAGTTAGAGGGAGATGATACCTGCTACTAGCAACCTGGGGTTGCATATTTCAAGAAAGATTAGGGGGAACTAAGTTTAGGGCTCATAGGGCATCAGATTTCCCAGTAACATACTTTCCTCCTGACTCATGAAATGTGGGAAGTACATCAAGGGAGCTGTGTGGATGAGCCCTTAGTCTCTCTTGCACACTCAGCATATCATTTCATACCAAACTCGATCAGACAAAAATTCATCTGGGCAACATGTTGTGGAAATCTCCCATCATTGCAGTGTTCTATGAGCTAATTATCATGTTAATTCATAGTATGATTTATTATGTAGAAATAATGTAGATAGAATCATGACAGCCTGTATTGTCAACCTATAGGATACTGCAGAGGCAAGCTGATGCTATGGAGAAAGGATAATTTTGCAAATTGTAATGGTGAAATCATTTTTCCCACTCCAGGACTACAATAACGGGAGAAAGCACACCTGTTAGCATTTTCTATCTGCTGCAGATAGAAAATTTGGGGATTCAGAGTGCTGGAAGAACAATGCTAGTGAAGATTTTCAGAGCATTAATCAACTGGTATGCCTCAATAACTCCAGCTTCCAGTGCACTTCCTATATAAAGCTGAGCATTTAGGAATTCTAATCCCAACCCATCTGAAGGGTGCTAGGCTGAGGAAGTTTGCTCTATAATATAATATTTGCTCTATTATCTTACATCTTTTCTTCTGAACTAGTCATGGACCTTAAACTCCCTCATCAAGCCTTGAAGAGGAATGCATCATAAGCTACTTCACAGGATTTTCCTTGTTCTTCTGTTTGAAGGATAAGTACCTAATTAGAGTAGCTTTGATACATCCAGTCCAGTTAAATGGGACCTCTGGTTGCAGGGAGTCAGTTTCATACAAAACACTCTTTTTCCAGTGTTTGAAGCTTAATTTAAGTGCCAGCTGCAGCTATCATTTGCTGGTCTAGATGGATAGATGCGTTTACTGAAAGTCAGCATTTTCCCTCTGGAGAATCTCTTTTTTCCCCCCCCGAATGAATACTTTTTTCCCCTGTACAAAGAGTTCTGAGGCACTTTGAAGATAAAATACCATTAGCTGTTAGGGCCTAGCTGGAATCCAATGCATGAATTATTCTTCTTAGTTGGCAGAAATATATACCAGTACTTCTAATTGATCCAATGATTATGATATATAAAGTTACAATATATTTCCCCTCTGTCACTCTGTTCCAGGCATTAATTCAAGGATAAGTGGAACAGGGCCATTCAGGCTGGCCCTGCATCCCAATGTGATTTGCTGCACTGAATATGAATATGAGGTGGAGGTTTCTTGCCACCATACAGAAGAAAGTGCACAAGAAAAGTAAGCAGACATCTTGCTTGCAGACCCAATCTGTGGTCATTGCTTGGAACATTTGTTGCATATCATATTAGAAGTTTATTTCACCGAAACCCGGGAGGCTTTTTTTTTTTCCAATGCATGATATACTGGAATATATGAAAATTGGGTGCAATAAAAAGTTTAACAAAGTATTTGATTAATTTAATAATTGGAAGCTCTTTTTAAAAAGTTCCTAATTATTAAACTCTCTTATGGTGAACTTCAGAGTAAGGCTGATGAGTGACAATTGCATATTCTGTACTTATAAGGAGACACATGGGCTTCTGCAGAGGGAGGCAAGTGATAAAACGCATGGGGGAAATGATTGGCCATACATTTTGATAACTACATGGAGCTCCTTTGTATATGAAGGACCCTGATTCGGAGTTCCATATGTGCACTTCTATGCAAGTGTAGATTGTATCTTCCAAGCTGCCTAAATGCACAGATTAAAAATAGCACATTTGTTAAAGAGGAGAGCAGCTGGAGAACAACAAAAGAAGGTCAGCTTTAGAGGAAAGTCTAGGGGAAATATTCTTGGTCCAAGTATGTCCCCTACTGTCCTATCTATGATTACGTCAGGAAAAAAAACACTGATGATAGGCAAAATTAAAGAATCAGATGCAGAATGAATGAATTACCTTTTCATGGACATTATGTCATTTATTAGCAGTCAAGTTGACCTTTCTTAAAGATGTGTATGTTCTAAATTGTAGCATTGGTTTTAATTTAACTTAACTTCTTTATATGTCACATTTCTTGTTAGCATTATTGTGGTTGGTCGCATAAACACCTAGATATTTAGACTGATCTTGCATTTTTATCCATCCATCAAATCCTTCCCAAGGACCTAGGGTAGGGGGATAATGTTGAATGACGATGATGATATGCCAGGTTGTTATGATCTGCAGTTGTTAATGAATTACGTCCCATAATTCTTTGCAAGCCAGTTGGATTCTGCTGCTGATTCACAGCCATCTTTTCTAAATGAATCAATGAGAAAACAGTTCCTGGAGAGAAAAGGGTGGGGGGGGGACTGACCATTCACAAGCATACCTGCTTCCTTGAGAGCATTTCTCATTTCACGTGCATCTATGGTTCCAGAACAGTTCGTATCTACTTTTTTATAGATTTCCTAGACCACAAGAGAGAGAGAAAAAAGCTACTGTCAGCTATTTCAGCCTAACTGTAGATATATCAGGTCAACTAAGATATTAATGGCTAGTCCAACCAGGCAGGAGAGATAGTTGTTTCTGTTAAGAATGGTGGAGTGAGGATTCAATTACCTCATGACAAGCTGTGTGTCCTGGGAAGTGATTCCCATAACTCAAGTTGCTTACAAGTCAGATGATGAAGTGGCCTTTGAGAAATAACCCCCTTCTCTGCCAAAGATTGTGATGCGGAACCGAGGGAAATACTTGAAAGGAACAATAGACAACTCTTTTTTCTCAGCTCAAAAGGTTTCTTATCCAACTATACATTTAAAAGCTATTCTGACTTGTTAATTTAGTAGGGTGTTTTTCATTGGTATATTAAATCACTGGCATTATTACTGATGAAGATGTGTGATTAATTGTCCTACCAAAGTTTCAAAGGATTTAACCAAGTTGTCAACTGATCTGGAAAATTAGCAACACAGATAATTTCCTACCCTCTCTTGCTGAACTGAGTGCCAGACGGAAAACAACTCTATTGGGTTTGGAAACAAAACTAATAAGATTTTATTCATAGTGTGAATAAGATGCATATCTCAGAACTACATGCTTATCTCAAATTAGTGCTTTACTGCTCACGGTTTTTCCCCCCCAGTTTAAGATGACATCAGATTTAGGAAGGATTAGTTTGCAAGGCAATCAAACCAGTCAGTCCTAGAGGAGATCAACCCTGACTGCTCTTTAGAAGGCAGATCCTGAAGATGAAACTCAAATACTTTGGCCACCTAATGAGAAGGAATGACTCACTGGAGAAGAGCCTAATGTTGGGAAAGATTGAGGGCAAAAGAAGAATGGGACGACAGAGAATGCTGTGGCTGGATGGAGTCACTGAAGCAGTAGGTGTGAACTTAAATGGACTCCAGAGGATGGTAGAGGACAGGAAGGCCTGGAGGAATGTTGTCCATGGGGTCGCAATGGGTTGGACACGACTTTGCAACTAACAGCAACAAAAAGTTTGCTTTTTACCAGATATTTCTGAATCTTCATCCAAAGGATCTTGAATTCTACAAGTCCCAGGGTACCGATTCCATCTTTCTGGATAGTGTTAAGGTCTAATTCAAAATTTCAAACATATTTTTCTTAATGTTTTTTTACATTCTTAAACAAGACATTCCAATCCCAATAAAAATGCATAGTTCATGTAGGGACGTGATTCTGTAGTTTCACCACATATAACAGATTAACAGATTTAACAGAGTTGGAAGGGACTTTGTAGGTCATCTAGTCTAACCCCCACCCACCCTATGCCATTTCTGACAAATGGCAGTCCAATCTCTTCTTGAAAGCCTCCAGTGATGAAGCTCCACAGCTTCCGAAGGCAAGCTGTTTCATTGATTGATTGTTCTTACTGTCAGAAAATTTCTCTTTATTTCTAGGTTGAATTTCTTCTTGATCAGTTTCCATCCATTATTCCTTGTCTGGCCTTTGCGTGCCTTGGAAAATAGCTTGACCCCTTCCTCTCTGTGGCAGCTCCTCAAATATTGGAACACTGCTATCATGTCTCCCCTGGTCCTTCTCTTCACTAGACTAGCCATGCCCAGTTTCTGTAACCGTTCTTCATATGTTTTACTCTCCAGTCCCCTAATCATCCTGGTTGCTCTTTTCTGCACTTTTTTTAGAGTCTCAACATCTTTTTTATAGCGCAGTGAACAAAACTGGATGCAGTATTCTAGGTGTGGTCTTACTACAGCGTTATAGAGTGGTATTAGTCAGTAGCGGGTTCCTCTTACCTTTGCTACTGATTCAAAACAGTGAGAGTGTGTGTGCTTTGCTCACACACGGCGCTTCTGCGCATACGCAGAGCATCTGTGATGATGTCTGGCAGGTGGGTGGAGCCTCCTGCCGCCACCATCAGTTCGCAGGAACCAGGGCGAACCAGTAGAAACCCACCACTGGTACCTCACTTGATCTTGATTGTATCCCTTGGCTTTTTTGGCTGCTGCGGCACACTGCTAGCTCATATTTAACTGGCTGTCCACTACGACTCCAAGATAAGAAAACACTCTTCCTGTTGCTATTTTTAAAAAAAATAAAAGTGGGTTGATCAGACCTGGACTCAATTTGAAAAATGATTATAGTGTTGTAGAAGCATGTGGATTGTATTTTGGGAACAGTAAGAACCAACCACCCCCTGAAAATCTTTTGGTAAAAAGATTTACCAAGTCCATTTGCAAATTATCAAACTTGGAAAACTGGTTTAGGACTAATGATTACAACTCTGTTACTATGTGAAAAGTGAACTATTAGAACTGTTTATGATTTTTCAGACCTCTCTGTATATTTTTATTATGTACACCCAAAAAAAGAGTATATGTATCCTGAACTCATTACAATTACATTTAGATTATGCACAACAACATGGGTAACTGCAGTTAATGCACAAGAGATTATTGCAGAATTCAGGCAGAGCATGAATATAAATCAGCAAGAAAACAACCATGCAGCTGATAATAAGTTTTACTATCCTTGCTACCAGACCGTTTAAATCAGTATTCTACTCTACATTTTATGCCAATAGCAAGTGAAGACAGATGCACCAGAAATGAGATGTGTAAATCTTGGCTTATCTAGGCAAAAGTTCACAAGGGAAATCCAGTGAAGAAGGGTGACATTTAAAAGATACATCTAAGAGACTGATCATCTCCCTGCAGGTGTTTATGTTGAATCCATCACTTTTAATGTCTATTCCTATACAATAAAAGAGACAAAAAATGTTATTCAAATATTTTTCTGCATCCCATGGTAACACAAGATCTTCAGGCATGTTAATCTCTCCAGTTGAAGCAAAAAAAAAAAAAGCTTTATTTTTATTAGCTCATTTTGAAGCAAAATACCTTTCAGAAGAAAGATCACATGAATACTGGTGTCAAGACAGTTACCTAGCAATTTCCCATTTCATTACAAAAGGTTTTAACATTATCTTCGGTAATTTTAACAAAAAGAAAAGGAATTTGAAAAGATGACCTAGAAAAATTTTACCGTGTGTGTGTGTGTGTGTGTGTAAAATAACTAGCTTTTTTTCCTGCCAAACAAGCTCAGATATTCCTAGGGAACAGATTAGGAATATGCATCCCAATGGCTGAGCTATGGCTTTTTGTCATGTGCACAGACAACCCATCCCTCCCAATTATAGAAAAAGGATTTACTTCTTTAAAAAAAAGCAGAAGCTGTGTGCTGAATCTGGAAAACAGTTCTAGGGCCCCAGTACTCTCAGAAATAACTCGCTGGAATCCCAGAAAACAAGAAGTCCAGGAAAGGTGAAATAGAACAGATGTTTTGAGGAGCATTATTTTTGAAGGAAATTGGTAACTGGGATTTTGTATTAGATGATGAAGACTAATATGTCCAATTTCAAGGCTGCCTGCATCCTTGATTCTCTGCAACTTGCAAATAAAAGAGAAATATTACATATAAAAGGAGAAACCCTATAGCCAAGAAACAAGTTAATTTTATATTGGCCTGGAGTGACTAGTAGGATGTTATACTATAATCTGTTCAGAAGGTTCTTTTAAACCTTCTAAAGGTCTATGTCATGTTTTAAAAGGTCAAAGTCATTTTAGAGTCCTTAAAGTCAAAAGGGATGCTTGAGGGATCAGGGAGTGGTTCTGAAAATTCTGCATTATTTCCTGAAATCAGTTGCAACTTACTTTTTGTTATGACTCTATTCAAAATAGTCTGAAGTTCATCAGCAGTCAGTTCACAATCCTGCATAAAAGAGGAAAAGTAGAGATCAAGGAGACATACACACAATAAAAAGCAACACAGCCATGGTCATCACACCCTTATCCTTTGTTTAAATTTCAATCTGAAGCAGCACCACTTGGAAGATTCTGTAGTCAGCCAGAATCAAGTTTCATTTAGCACTCCCAAATGCATTTCTTTGCAGCTAGGATCCATTAATTAAATGAGTTTAGCACATATATTGGTGGATCCTCCTAGCCAGAATTACTGGAGATTTCAGAAACCAAGGAATGCTTTATTTTTGTAGGTTGGATCTATGTATGCAGTCCTTTTGCCACGAAGATATCACATTCATGTTACTTATGAGAACAGCTCTATATTCATATTCACCAAGGATGTATATGTATAGATACAGTATCTGCAAGATAAGGCTTCTTAACAGCCTTGGCTTACTGGAGATTGGTATTACAGTGCTACATTGCTTTGTCTCTGACTCAGACTATTTGCCGATTGAATATGTCAGTTAAAAACTAGTCAACTGGACACCATAATAGGCTTTTTTTCAGTCCAGTCCAACAGATAAATATACTGTTCAGAATTGAGTCCAGGCAAGCAGCTTCCTGAACTGAACCTCAAACGAAGCTGCTTCCTTTCCATAATGTTTCACACAACATGTGTGCAAACATACATGCATCCATTGATGTGCCACATAAAATGTGAAGCCTTTCAGAATATTTTTTCTCCAAATTTCTCTCTCATCTTTACCTCTTTTCCTAACTGAAAGTTTGAAAGAAAACAAAGGAAGAAAAGCAGAAACAGTGCAAATATTAACAACAGAAGGAATAATCACAGAAAAAAACTGGACTTAAGAAATCATCTTCAGAGAAAAGGTTAATCAATCCCTCTTAACCATAATTTCCCTGGTCCATTTGCTCTCCTCTAAAGTTAATTCTCTCACTAAAAATTATAGTAGTTAGGCTAATACGTCATCTACTAATTCTGCTCAGGCAGGTTGATAAAGGACTACCACTAGAAGATGAATAAATGTGGGGAAGACCCTAGTGGATGACTAAAGGGAGCAGTGCTGAGGGCAATTGACTGCTGTACTAATGGGATTAGAGACTTGAAGTTATAGTCCTCTGGGGTAGTATCCTATACAGAAAGTGTATTAGCTACCATTTATTTCCAAATGCAGTTCAGACTGCTGGTTTTCGATGTTATCTATGCTCAGGTCATGGCTATCTTAGTTATTCCCCTAAATAAATTCTGACCACCAAATCTAATCTGATAGAGAAGGCCTGCTAAAAGTCTCATCCAAACAGGGGGGTATGACAAGAGAAAAGGCATTCTGTGATTGTTCCCCTCCTCTGGAACAACCTATCCTCCAAAGAAAGAATGGCCCCAAGGAAAGAATAGCCTTTGAAGATGAGGAGCTGAAATAGAAATTGCATCATTGGTGACACTGTTTCGTGGTTTCTTTTCTATTTTATTGTGATTATTTGCATTGTATTTTGAACCTATTGGCATGCTATCTAGAGCTTCTGGGAGCGAGGCAGTTGGTAAATCTTATCATTTGGTAAATAAATGTTCTGGCTGTCAGGGTCACATAGCCCTTTGGATGTGAAGGCTGAAAACATTCTTTAGAGCGTAGAGGTTGCCTGCATCTCCTTGAACACACATTTTCCCAGGATTGGGCTGCAGCTGCACTGGGCACCCAGAAAAGGCTGCAATGGCTTTAAGGAGTGTCAGAGAGTCCCTACATGACTCCCTCACCTCCCACATACCCCAAAGTTATTTTTGCTTTCACAACCAAAGCATTGTGTCACCCTGTTAAGCAAATGAAGGAGGATTGTATGATACCAATATAAAAACTGGTTGATATGAATTAGATACAGATCTGTTAATTTAAAGTTCCAAAATATACTATTTATCTAATCTTGAATATACATTTATATCTGTCTCTTACCTCCCCAGAAAGCTTTTGGAACAGACTTTTGAATTCGTTGTCTATATCCTTGCCTGTAACTTGAGGCTAAAAAAACGAAGAGATTGTAAATAGAATACTTTTACTAAGGAAGGTGATGGTTCTAGTGAAGAACCCTGAGGCATTTTGACTAAGCAGGTATATAGCTTGCAGAGATTATAAGACATAACAACACTAGCTAAAACAGCCCAATTTTATTTTGATAACGTATTTTAAATAGTATATGTTAGCATATACCTAGCTTTGTTAATGTCTAGGCTGCCTAGCTGATATCTCTTCAATTTTCCATCCATTGGGGTATTTTAGTAAGGATTTTGACTGAGAAAAGTGAATTATAATTCCAAAAAGTATTTACTGAAATCCCATAAAGCAGGGTATCTCAAAATTTGTGGCATCAATTTAATTTTTGTGAAAACTGACCTACATAAATATTGATGGCAGCAGACAAGCTATGCTATTTTTATCACTGGCTTCCCAAAGTGGTGAACTTGCACTATTCCCTCTTCCTGGCTCTGAAGAACTTCCACTCACACCAGACTCCCTCTTCCCTGTCAGCCCCATACATGCACAGCCACTAATTCCTATATTCCCATAAATCAAATACTGCAGTCTATACCCACCTCATCTGTCTTTCCTCACTTATGGACACTGAGAAATTTAAGGAGACTCCTCCTTAAATTTGTTTATCCCATCCACCTAGATGCAGCAGAAAGTTTTGAAAATAGCACTTGTTGCAATTTCTTTACCTTCAAGAAAGTATTTATTACCTTTAATAAAAGTGCAGATATCTTTCATACTCCATTAAAAGCAAAACTAGGGCAGACATGTTTTTGTGCCAGCCTTTTAATCTTCCAGGTTCCTTTCCTAATAAAGAGTTCTTAGATGTGTAGAATATATACAATATTTGGTAAACTTTCAGTTGGCCTGATAAACTGATTATTTTTATATGGATTTCAAAGTAAATATGTTAATTTGAGTCTGCTTAATTTATTTACCTCATATGGATTAGCAGTGGCAGTGTCCCCAATTTCTCTGTAATTAAAGAAAAATGTTGCAATTATGGTGACTTATAGTTTCAAAAGGCAATAAAACTAAATAAAAACAAGCTACAAACTTGAAATATAATCCATGAATTTCAAAGCCAATTTAAAAGAACAGTAGAATGACATGGAAGAATGACATGGAAGAATGACTATTAAAATATTCCATCTTTGGCTCTTGATGGGATTCCCCAAGCAAAGTTGGCCTGTAATCTGGGGGTACTCCTGGATTCACAGCTCTTGCTTGAAGAGCAGGTGACAGCTTTAGCTAAAAGGGACTTCTTTGTGCCATTTATGGCCTTTTCCTGGGTTGGCATTGCTTACTGTATGCGTGGCTTGGTCACTTCCCAAGTGACCAAGAGGACTGCACTAGTTGCCAGTTTGTTTCCTGATTCAATTCAAAGGGCTGTTGGTATTTTTAAAGCCCTTCATTTTAGGACCTTGGCATCTATGGGAATGCCTTCTCTTAGAGATCTCTGCCCATCAGTTATGAACTCTAACAGTGGGCCCTTTCTGTCCTGGCCCTCAGGGAATGTCATGTACAAGCACCCCACAGAAGGATCTTTTCCATATCGCCTCCTTTTCTAGAACATTATTCTCCTGATATCAGACAAGGTCTAACTTGGTTAGCCTTTCAGAAAGCATTTAAGACCTTTTTGTTCATAGGGCCTTCAAACAAGGGTGTATTTGTTTCCTTTGTAGAAGGTGAATGTTTATATTGTGATCACATCCCTCTGTCTAAATCAGTATTTCTCAACCTAAGAAATTTAGCAAGTCCACATATCTTCATGTTGCTAAGGCTGAGAAACGTTGGCCTAAATGTTTGAAATTGTTGGTGTTTCCAGTTCTTAATTTATACAATATGAGAGTCATATAACTAGCATATAAATCTAGCTAAGCAAACAAGCAAGCAAATAAGCTGAAGTCACCATCTAAAATGCATCGGAGAGCCCTGAAAATATTCTAGATCTGTTTTGCCTCCTTGACTGTTGCCCGACTTCAAAGCTGGATGAGAAAAAATAAGATCTGAAAATATTCCATCCCTTCCCAAAAGAAGGCAGCAGGATAAGGAAGACTGCCAAAGATTCTTGCAATGTTCCCTTCTCTTGTATATATTTGCCTGAAATGAAGTTTCTTCTCTGATGCCCTTCATGAGGCTCTCAAGGAAAGGATTTTCTCAGTGATCACAACATAATTGAGGTTAAGCCTTCTAAGCAAGAATTACCTGGCATTTCCTACAGGGTTGTTTAAGTAACCTAACTCTCATTTTGTTTGCAATCTTGAAAAGTGAATTGTTAGCAATGTGTATATTAAGTACAATGTGTATTTGGTTTAAAGTCTCTATTCGATTTTACTTCAAAGCTACAATTGTTTTACTGTAATTATACTTTTTGCTGTTGTATTTTGTTCATTTTATTTTTGTGAGTCATTCTGAAAATTATAGATATAAATACCTTGAAAAAAATAAAAATAACAGCCATTGTCAAATTGTATCATTCCTACTTAATACTAGTGTGCTCAACTGCCATTGTTTGCCTTCCTTGCTACCTATAATTTCTACCTAAATATAGATTTAACTTTCATTCTAGTGTAAAAAATAACTTTTCTCAAGTAATTGTATATTTGACCATAGTCAGAAGGAAGAGTTTGAACAAGTTCAAATAAAGGGAATTGTGATATTTTCTTAATTTTTAAATAAGCTTGGAAACTTAAACTATTATCTTAATTCAAGGGGGGAGAACAAGGTGCTCTTTAGAGCTCTCCAGTCTCACTTTTCCTCTCCAATTCAATTTACATCTCCTTTCCTATAGATCAGAGCACCTTTGCTATTTCCTCTTCTGGTTCTCAGCCTTTTTGTGCTTGCTCTCCTGCTGCCTTTTAATTCATTCTGCTTCTTTTATCATTTCTCTACCCCAAACTGTTCTAGCTGTGAAGACACATTTCTCCATTTTTTATAGAAGAGACAGGAAAAAGATAATGAAGACTGACAGAAAGGGATGCTTTAGCAATGTTAAGTTCCTTGTAAATTCCTTTTAGATTCATATATATCAATAGAATTGGTAGAATTGATAACTCACATGACAAACCCCACTATTTAGACTGCTGGCCATACTGGCTAGACTTCATAGGAATTAGAATTCAGTTATATCTGGGAGACCACAGATTAAGCACTCCCTTCCAAATGCACATATATTAAACAACTTCCATGCAAAATGGCATAACACTTTTTGGCGTGTGGTGGTAGAAGATACATACTGAGCTTTAATCTGTTTCACAGAGAAGATCCTAAGGCAGAAATGTCCATCTTGCGAAGGCTGAGAGGTGTATGGCACAATAAGATATTCTCCCTGTGGCAGGTGGAAGCGAATTGATGCTTCACGCGAGCAGACCTCTCGGCCAAAATGAACTACAGGTTTATTTGTTGAGAAGAACTCTCTGCTTAGATGAACATTAACTTGATTTTCTAACTAAAGAGAACAGTAAGAGTGAAAACATTAATTGCGCACAAGAATCAAAATAGAGAGCAGGACAAATATTCCTTTCAAGCAAATACCTAAGTGATTGTGCTAGGGCTTCATTATATAACTTGTCCTACTTACATATACTGGCACACCAGGCAGACCTTTAGCTTCATCTTCTATATTTACCTTTCTGGACTTCTGGCATGACTGACTAAAGTTTGTTTTGTTTTGTTTTATTAAATTTGTATACCGCCCTACTCCCGAAGGACTCAGGGTGGTGAACAGGCACAGGATAAAATACAGAAATACAAAAGTTAGAAACAATTTAAAACCAAATTAAATAATTTAGCCCACGACAATTAAAATCCCAATAATTTAAAACAAATTAAAATTTCAGTTTAAAAAATTTAAAAGAAAGGGGAGAAAAATTAGGCCAGGCCAGCTTGCTGGAATAAGAGGGTCTTAAGAGCACAGCAGAAAGTGCGCAGATCTGGGATCCTCCGTATCTCCCAGGGGAGCTCGTTCCAGATAGTGGGTGCCCCCACAGAGAAGGCCCTCCCCCTGGGGGCCGCCAGTCGATACTGCTCGGCTGACGGCACCCGGAGGAGCCCCTCTCTGTGAGAGCATACCAGCCGGTGGGAGGCTGTTTGTGGTAGTAGGCGGTCCCATAAATAACCAGGTCCTAAGCCATGGAGCGCTGTAAAGGTGGTAACCAAAACCTTGAAGCGCACACGGAAGACCACTGGGAGCCAGTGCAGCTCGCGCAGGAGAGGTGTCACATGGGAGCGCCATGTTGCTCCCATAACCACCCGCGCAGCCGCAGTCTGCGCCAGTTGGAGCCTCCGGGTGCTCCTCAAGGGGAGCCCCATGTAGAGAGCATTACAATAGTCCAGGCGGGAGGTGACAAGGGCATGAGTGACTGTGTGTAGGGAGTCCCGATCCAGAAAGGGACGCAACTGGCGAATCAGGTGAACCTGATGAAAAATCCTCCCGGTCACGGCCATCAAGCGCTCTTCTAAAGACAGCCATGAATCCAGGAGGACGCCCAAGTTGCGAGCCCTCTCCGTGGGGGCCAGCGATTCGCCCCCGATAGTCAGCGATGGCGTCAACTGACTATATCGGGACATCGGAAACCACAGCCACTCGGTCTTGAATGGGTTGAGCCTGAGCCTGTTCCTCCCCATCCAGATCCGCACGGCCTCCAGACACCGGGACATCACTTCAAGGGCATCGTTGGGGTGGTCCGGGGTGGAGATGTACAACTGAGTATCATCAGCGTACTGATGGTACTTCACCCCGAAACCACGGATGATCTCGCCCAGTGGCTTTACATAAATGTTGAACAGAAGGGGCGAGAGGACCGACCCTTATGGCACCCCACATATGAGGGGCCTCGGGGTCGACCTCTGCCCCCCTGCCAACACAGACTGCAACCGGTCAGAGAGAAAGGAGGAGAACCACCGTAGTATACAGTGCCCCCCACCCCTAACTCTTCCAGCCGGTGCAGCATGATACCATGGTCAATGGTATCAAAAGCCGCTGAGAGATCTAATAGGACCAGGACAGAGGAGCCACCCCTGTCCTGAGCCCTCCAGAGATCATCGACCAACGCCGATTCTGTGCTGTACCCTGGCCTGAAGCCCGACTGGAATGGATCCAGATATGTCGCTTCATCCAGGTGCTGGGGGAGCTGTCGCACAACCACACTCTCAACAACCTTCGCCACAAAACGAAGGTTGGAGACCGGACGATAATTAGCCAACACTGCTGGGTCCAGGGAAGGCTTCTTGAGGAGAGGCCTCACCACCGCCTCTTTCAAGGCGGCAGAGAAGTCACCCTCACCCAACGAAGCATTTATAATCCCCTGGAGCCAGCCTCGCATCACCTCCCGGGAAGCCAGCACTAACCAGGAGGGGCACGGGTCCAATAAACAAGTGGTCGCGTTCAGTCTACCCAGAATCCTGTCCATGTCCTCAGGGGTCAAAGGATCAAACTCATCCCAGATAACATTCTCAAGACCTGTCCCAGTCCCTCCCCCTGAGACTATCCAGTCGGAGTCCAAATCTTCCCGGATCTGAGTGATTTTGTCATGCAGATACTGAACAAAATCCTCGGCTCTACCCTCCAAGGGGTCCTCCCGCACTTCCTGGTGGAGCAGGGAGCGGGTCACCCTAAACAGGGCGGCCGGGCAGTTATCTGATGATGCAATAAGAGCAGCAAAATAGCTACGTTTCGCTGCTTTTATCGCCACTAGGTAATTCCTAATATGAGATCTTACCAGTGTCCAGTCCGATTCTGAAAGACTGGCCCTCCAACTACTCTCTAGGCGTCTTTTCCGGCACTTCAACTCCCTCAGCTCCTCAGTGAACCAAGGAGCCAAATGAGATCGGCGCCGGGTCAGAGGCCGCAAAGGCACGACCCGATCCAGAGCTCCAGCGGCTGCCCTATCCCAGGCGGCCACTAGGTCTCCAGCCGAGGCGTGTGCCAGAGCCTCAGGAAATGGCCCAAGCTCCATCTGGAACCTGTCGGGTTCCATCAGGCACCTGGGGCGGAACCATCTTACCGGCTCCGGCTCCCTGCGGCGGGGTGCAGCGGTTCGAAGGTCAAGACGAAGGAGAGAGTGATCTGACCATGACAAGGGCTTGGTAACGATATCCCCTATCTCAAGATCACTCCACCACTGTTCAGAGACAAAAACCAGATCCAGCATGTTTCCCCCCGTGTGGGTAGGGCCATGAATTAACTGGGTCAGGTCCATGGCTGTCATGGAAGCCATGAACTCCCGAGCCACCTCAGACGCCTCACCCATGGATGGCAAGTTGAAATCCCCCATGACCATAAGCCTAGGGGTCTCAACCGCCACCGCCGCGATGACGTTGAGTAGCTCGGGCAGGGCTGTTGCCACGTGGCAGGGAGCCAGGTACGTGACCAGCAAACCCATCTGAACCCTGTGACCCCATTTCACAAGGAGGGATTCGCAGCCGGCCGTCTGAGGAACAGTGGCCTCCCTCGGTCTCAGATCTTCTTTAATAATAACCGCTACCCCCCCACCCCTACTCTGCAACCTCGGCCGATGGAATGAGCAGAAACCTGGTGGGCACATTTCAACGAGAGGGACACCCCCCCTTGGCCCAACCAGGTTTCTGTAATACCTGCCAGGTCTGCTCCCCCCTCCTGAACAAGATCACAAATGAGAAGGGCTTTATTTACTACAGACCTGGCATTGCATAACATCAGATGAAGGCCAGGGCCCTGAGGATCTGCGCAACCTGGAGAACGAGGGGGCCGGAGCGCGCCACCACTCGAAGACAGTGGGTGCACGCTCCCCTAACACGATATGGCCCCCTACTCCCGCCATATCTACCCCTCCCACCCACAGTACTGATGGTAAGAATTGTATCTGGATGAACTTTAGCCCCCCCCTCGACCCCAGGCCCCCCACCCCCCGTGCCATGCTCCACAGCCATACCCGACCTTCCCCTTAGTGGGTTATCCCCCATACCCACGGCCCTACTTCTGATCCAACCCTCCCCCCCCCAGAACCCCTTAAGAAATTAGCTAAAACTTTATATAAAAAACCTCTCAACCCCCTCTTCACGACAAAGTTGAATGTGACTGCAGGTTATTGACTGCAGGTTGAATATGACTGATGTTATTGCCTTTTTATTTTGGTTGGAAAACTGAATTCAACATGTAACTTAAATCTAACCCTAATCAAATATAGCTAACATCATATAATAGAAATCTCCCTGGAAAAAGTCTGGATGGTAGGAGTACTAAACCTGAGCCACTGAAATCTACAGTATATAAGCACTGGAGTATTGATATGCTTTTTGTGTCTGTCTGCAGCCATCTAGCAGTTATCTAGATTTTTATACTCTGGTTCTAGTAGTGCTAAAATGACTTCCATATTTACAGGATTGAGGCTACAAATAAAAGCATATCTACATATCTGTCTACTTGGGATTTTGAGTACTGTTGTTCTTTCAGTTGATAGTGTTATTGGATGGTACATGTGTTTTTCTCTCAGGCTTATATCCTAGTTCTGTACATCTATTATCTTTCATACTATTCTGGGCTCATTTTAGAAAAGGAAGTTGTTGTTGTTATTATTATTATTACTAGTAGTAGTAGTAACAATACCAAAATCATATACATATACATATACATATACATATACATAT